AAAACAATTCCATCACCTTCCTCTGTAAAATCTAGATTCCTGAGTTATTATTACTGAAAAGTAAAATGAAAAGAAAAATAATAGCAGTAAATAAATGCATCTTTTGCATAATGTCTGCTGTCTAGACAACAATTTAACCTATTTAGGTGAAGTGAATGCAGGTGTGCATGAAGAAATAAAGGACAAGTAAAACAAGTACAAGTTTCGGAGCCGGTCGAACATCACCACGAACCCATGTCTTGGTGATTTATATTCAGCCAATCCTCAAGAAATAGAAATCTATTGTGCAGCCCCTCTTGGATTTACTAATATTAAATTTGGGTCCCTAATTTGAGTATCCTCCAAATGATGTCCAACACAAAGTCCAAGGCTATGCTTGGATATAAATAAAAATTTAAATATTAATCACTATTTTTAACTCAAAATATAATTCAACTCAACTCTTATCAATATTATTAATATAATTAAATAAATCAGTCAATCATCACCACACATCACATTAACTTTAAATCACTTTTATCCACTCACATAATTTTATCTACCGTGATACGAAGATTCACCTTGAACCGGGTTGGACTGAAAACACCACGGACGGACTTCTGCTTTGAACTCCTATGACCTGCAATGCGCCAAAGAGGGTTCAGAGCAAAAAATCTCCAACGCTCAAGTCTTTTCTCACGAGAACAAATGGGAAAAGTGTGCATGTAAGCGTAAAAATATGTATTGCATCTTTAAATAAGAACCTTTTCAGGCTTATATAATAGGGTGTCCTAATTCCCGAGAGAGTCCTAACTATAAAAGAGATCCTACGTATCTACTTTCCTAGCTTACTACGTCTCTAGAATCTGAAACTACTTAGCAAGATACACTTTTCACTCTGAAAGGATTCTATCACCACTTACGACTCTTAGGTCCCTTAGGTCGTCTGAACGACCTCATCGCCTACTTGCCATAAGCTGCAACTAGGTCCTAACCACGACCTTCACCCTCGCGCGACATCGCGGTCATGAGTTCCTCATGTTTCCGAGATCTTGAGTTTATTCAACCTTCATGCTCTCTGACTAGACCAACATGTACCTTGAGCCAGCTAAGCGAGCTTCTTGACAAGGTCATGTACTGAGCACGAACTTAGCTATCTTGAACTGGTCACATCCGAGCTAACCACTCAGACCAGTTCACTGAGCTATTCTGGAGGCTAAAACGGCCAAGAAAGAGAAGATGGAAGAGACACCCTGCACTAGTCCTACCCTCAAGCAGCCTACTCGTTTTGCACTCACCAAGGGCATAGGCGTCCAAGCCTCCTTCCTCCTCTCTATCGTTCCAAATGGAGAGATCAACCATTGCAAGGGCAACAAGGAAGCCCGAGCCAACTATGCGATCTATCACCTCGTCTGGTATATCACTATCTCATTTTCATCCTACTACTGACTTACTTCTCATCTTTCCTAGCACAATGTCATTTTATTCTTGACCTTGAAGATGTTGTCCAGCCTCAGCCCATCCTTCACGAAGCTGTGGAGGGAAACTCCGATGAGATTGCTTGCTTGAAGAAGGAGGTCAAGAGTAACGAACCTCGCTTGCCAGTCTCTGGACGTGGTATGACAACCTCCAGAGCGAGGTCGCACAACTGATCGCCTAACTCAGGTTCAAGGATGTTGAGCTCATAGAAAAGGATGCCGAGCTCACCGACCTAAGGACCCAACTGGGCAAACCAAAGGTCGTGGTGGATGAGCTAGCACTACACCAAAAAAGCATTCAGATGACACTTTTGACATAACGTTTTTTCAGATAAGTGTTATATAAAAAACACACAATCTTTAGACAACACTTAATTTAACAAGTGCTATAAAAAGAGTAAAAATACATAACACTCATTTTAAAAGTGTTGTCTAAGTTATAACACTTATTCATATTATAACATTCATTTTAAAAAGTGTTGTATAAGTTATCACTTATTTGTGTTTCATAACAATTTATTCTATCTAAACAACCCTCCAAAATAATAAAAACAAAAAACACTATAAAAAATACCTCATTAAAAAAATCGCACAATGCAAAAACTGAGAAGGAGAAAAATAGAACTCGAAGAACCCTAAAGCGGCTCCCCAAACTCGCCAGACTTCTATACTTCGTCGGCGCCGGAGGTACCTAAAGCGGCAATACTCTCTCTGTAAGCTCTCGATCCCAATTTCACTTTTACATAGTGTTTGGTTGGGGGGGTTTTAGAGGGGAGGGGAGGGAAAGGGAGAGAAAATTTTATGATTCACTTGTTTGGTTCAATTTTTTAAGGGGGAGGGGAAGGAAAATTTGGGATTAAAATCCCTCCAAATAGTAAAAATGGCTCCCCGCCAAAATTGGGAGGATTTGGAGGGGAAAGAAAATGTGAGGAAATAAATTTACTTTTTTATCCTTAGTATTAAGATTATTTTATTGTTTTATTTCTTATATCATTAAGGGCAAAATAGTCAATTATATATTATTTTTCCTTCCCTTTCATTTTCTAACCAAACAAGGTTTACCATTTTCCCTCACCTCCCTCCTACAAAATCCCTCCAAACATGGTAAAATTATTTTACATCCCCTCCCCTCAACTTCCCTCCCTTCCATTAAAATCCCTCCCCTCCATTTCCCTCCGTTGAACCAAGCATACCCTTAAACCCCACCTAACATTGCGCTATTTTCCCCCTTTTTTCTTTGTTTTTTCCGGGTTAGGAATCAACAAATGGAAGGAAGTTGAGGGAAAATCGACGATTGTGAAGGAGCATCAGCTCAATGGAGAATCGTTTGTAGTGGTAAATAAGGCTGTTGAATGAACACAAATAATCTCTTTGACGAGTGTTGGTTTTTCTTATTAATATGTTAATGGCTCAATATTTATTTGGAATACTTATAAAAGGGCCCGTTTAACTTCTGGTCTGTCTCGATGAGGTGATTGTTGTTGTGAATTTTCGACATTATTATCAGTAGCATTTGGTAACTTTTGTCTCTGGTGATTCTACCTTTTATCAATTTTAATTATAGACTGGCATCGTCTTGTTGGTATCATGATTGTAGGAAACAAAATATGTACATATAACTCGTGGCAGCAGAGTTGTACATTTGATTAACAAGTATGTCCTTAGCTATCGTACGTTTCTCTTTGCATTAAGGCTTGAGCTTTCTCATTTTTGCAAAGGACTTCCTGTAGCACACACTATTGTTCCTTTTCTGTTTCTTGTTATTTTTTTCTCTGCTTGTATATTTTATTTTTATTTTTACCCCATTGCTTGCATGTAGATTAGGGGCCACTACTCTTATGGAACTGATGATTGCTGCTGGAAAGACGATTCCTCGACTGCAGTTGGAACATGGATTGGCTGTTGAGAGAGTGTACACTGGTTTATTTATGACCTCTCCTCGCTATTGATATGGCAGGTTTGTTCATGCAATGTTAAACTTATTCTTATGAGACGACACCTTTTTTGTTCTTTCTTTCTTTTCAAGATTTTCAATAAGTGTGATGAAGGCTGACGAAACAGTTTTGAAGCGTTTGGATGCCCCAACTAAAGCTCCGAATTGGCCTGTTGCTGCTGATGGTGAGATTATATATTCAATTCAAACATTTGTTTCTTATTTTTCTAGCTTCTGCTTCTGCTGGTCATTTGACTATATCATTAATATAGAATTTCCTTCCGTCTGCAAATTAGTCATGTCTTTCCTTATAATTCGATATAACAATGTTGTCTCAGGTGACCGCCCACCTGCTAAGATTCCTATTCCTATTCCACCATGTCGTTTGAAAAAGAATGATGAGGTATCTTGAGAGAACTTACTCTTTGTGGATTTTACCATCTCCTGATTTTTTCTAGCTGTCCCTCAGATTGTTAATAGTGCAATTTTTTCAATCATTGACTTCTGTGATGGTTTATATTTTGATTTGATTTGGAATGTAACTTCAATAAACCTTTTGTGTGGTAGTGACATGCCCTTACATGACATTTATTTTATTCTTCATATTTTTATGTAATAGCTTTTAGAAGCATAGCTTTCACTGAGTCTGAGTGTAGCTTGATAAATATCAACAAATAATAACCTGCCAAAGCGAGAATATGGCTGACTGTTTTAAAACAACTACTATATTTTGACTATCAGCTTTATGATTTTCCACATATGTCAATGCTTCATGATATTCCACATTTGTCTCCTGTTACATTTTCTTTTATATCTTGTTTATAAGATATGATGAAATGACTTAAATTTGATACCAATATATGTACAACTTTCGCGATGCAGGAGGATGCTATCAAACTTGTTTGGTCAGGATATTGGCTAATGGCGGGTGAACTTTTTTGCTAGGAATATCAGTTTTTTTCTTGATTTATTGGAATTAGAGATACGATTCTTTCATTATTTTGTGCTACATTATTATCTTGTACATACACGAGCACAATGTTAACATTGGTGGAATGTGTTAGTAAGTTTTTATTATAAACATGTTCGTGTTGCTTTTTTGTTGGTTTTTGTTAGTAAGTTTTTATTATATTCATGTTTAATGGATACTGGAACTAAATACATAAAAAAAAAATTGCACATGGATAACACGTGTTTAGAAAAGCGTTATATGTTATAAGCATCTCAGATAGCACTTCTCTTAAAAAATGTTATCTGATTAATATTATAGATAACGCTTTATGTGAAAGGTTCTTCACATAACGCTTATAAAAAGTGTTATGGGAAAAGTTCTTTACATAACGCTTAGTATAAAAAAGCGCCATATGAAGGGATCTTCACTTAACGCTTTTTAAGCGTTATCTGAAGAGCACCCTTCATATAGCGCTTTTTAAGCGTTATCTGAAGAGATTGGTCTTCAGATAACACTGATTCCAATAACGCTTAAAAGCGTTATCTGTAGCGAAAAAAAAGAGCTATCTGAAGCCTTTTTTGGCGTAGTGTAGTAAACTTTGGAAGAGGGTCGTTTTTACTTCTTCTCTTTGGTCCCCGGAGCTCGCTTCCTCGAGCAGTACCAGCTCGAGCTATTGAAGTTCTTCAAGCACTCAAATGAGTCCTTAACTTGGATATTCCCCACCTGTAAGCAATACTTCATGATTGCCACCGCACCCCACTCGAGGTCAAGCTGTGGAAGGAAGGTATACAAGTGAGTGGGATTGAGTAATATACTNAGGGATGCTTAACCCAGATGGTTAGAACGATGACCCCAACCTCCCATTGGACCCTTAACATATATGCATACTTTTTCAATTAAAATATAATATTATAAAAAATACTATAAACAAAAGTATAATCTCCCATATATATAATTTTCGAATGTGCTGACCCGAAGAACTTCCACAATGTTTTGGGTTCATTCAAAAAAATTATATGCCACACAGGAAATAGACTCAGTCTAGAAAAATATATTCTCCAATGCAAGTGCAAGTGGACTGAGTCCTGCTGATATGACAGCAAGAAAAAGATACTCGGTATACCCTTATGTCTATTTTAGACCCAAGAAGAGACTCAGTCTCTTTGCATTGAAGTGAATTGTGTTACTTTTAGACCATCTCTTATCCTTATCTCTACTTTAGTGTATAATTTAATCTATGCTAGAGGAGAGTTAACCAACAGTCTAGGTTCATCTCCAATCATTCACGCTAAATTTTTACTCTACACGAATATTTATATTTTATTCTAATTATTTCATATTAATTTTAATAAAAAAAATATAATGTAATGAAATATATTATCTTACATATATTTAGTTATTTAAATTATCAATATATGATTGAAAAAAAATACAATTAAGTACAAAATTATTTATGTCAAGATAATTTTATTTCTAATTAAGAAGATTAATCAAGTATTTTCTACAACATCAAGAAAGGTATAGTGATTCTCAATGGATAATCTAAGTTAGAGAATTGTTACTAAATGTAGATGTTAAGATTATTATTTTACTAACCGTATATATATAGATGTCAAGATTATTTTATTTAGCATTAATCTTTACAAGAAATTAATTTAAAATAAAATTGTAATTAAATTGGAAATTTTTAATAATATATAGATTTATATTATAAAAATATTATATAAAATATTACATAAAAGTACTATATATAAACAAAAAATGCAATGCAGTGCTGGAAGTCTACGCAAAAATTACATAATTGATATTTAAAAAGAAACAAAAATATTAAAACCATTCAGCGCACATGTGTACTGCTACATCATACGCAATACTGTAGATATATTTTCATGTGGCGAATGAATATAGCGCAGCGTTGGAGAATGAATTTTGCACAAGTCTAGCGTGATGAGCAATCATGTACTACGCTATATTTGACGCAGTAGTGTAGATATATTTCATGTGGCGCATGAATATTGGAGAATGCATTTTGCATAACTCTAGGTGAAGCATTGGACATTGCTCTTATATAGTCCTATTCATGTAACCTAAGACTTGAGTCTATTTACGTGCAACATAAGAAAAATGAAACTCAAAGCATTGTGGATGCTGACAAGTTCGCAAGCTTTGGAATCTTTTGTAACAAGTTTTCATATTACGTCATTTGACTTGAATAAATTATAATTACTTACAACCTGAAAATAAATAAGCTTAGAATATCCACATATATACTGGATATTTATTATTATTTTGTGAGCATTAATTATGTTTTATTATTATTCCTATTGTAGACGTAGTTTATAAGACATAATTTTTTCATCTTTCCTTTTTACAATTATAAAAAAATTTTGCTAACATAATTATAAATATATTTAAAAGTTAATAATTTTTTTATTATTATCAAATTTTTATATATAATATATCAATTTAATCATGTACACATTAATATTTCACATAAAAAGTAAAAAAATAATATAATTATCTTCATAATACAATTAAATACATATTAATAAGAAATGGAATAAATAAAATTATTTAAATTAATTTAATTACAAATTAGTTATATGTTAAGTCGTATAAGGGACAATGTCATTTTAAATATAAATAATATTATAATTTAAAAAATATTTAAAATTAATATTTTTTTAAGTTTTTAATTTTCAATATAAATTTCATAACAAACATCTATGTATTGTATGGGTATTATACTAGTATTCTATAATATAAAAATGTGTTTTTATTTAGTATTTAAAAATACGACTGCTCCTTTTACACCTTACAATTTCTTGTATAAAAAATTACGCCTATCATTATTATGAGATACTTTTGCACATATGTATATAGGGATTGGTTCCAATGCATCCACTTATTTAAAGTGAGAACGTGAGACTCATTTCTAGCCACAAGATTTGGTACATCATGTGTGGCAAAGATTTACTCTTTTCTTTTTATTATTTTAATTATTTAAATATTATTTTGACCCGTTGACTCCGGAGTTGACCATTGACTTTCGGCGTTGACCGTTGACTTTCGGCATTGACTTCCGACGAAACCCGTTGACTTCCGGCGTTGACTGTTGACAACTAACCTTCCAATTAGGTTAGTTCTATGTAGTTGTTAAGCTAGTTCTCTGTAGTTGCTAGGTTAGTTGTTTGTAGTTGCTAGGTTAGTTCTCTGTAGTTGTTAGACTAGTTCTCTGTAGTTGCTAGGTTAGTAGTTGCTAGGTTAGTTCTCTGTAGTGGCTAGGTTAGTTCTCTGTAGTTGCTAGATTAGTAGTTGTTACTTTAGTTCTATGTAGTTGCTAGGTTAGTTATCTATAGTTGCTAAGTTAATTGTTTATAGTTGCTAGGTTAGTTCTTTGTAGTTGCTAGGTTAGTTCTCTGTAGTTGCTAAGTTGGTTATCTGTAATTGTTAAGTTAGTAGTTGCTAGGTTAGTTCTCTGTAGTTGCTAGGTTAGTAGTAGCTAGTAGGGGTGAGCATAGGTCGGTACGGTTCGGAGATCACTAAAATTCGATCTCCAGAACCGTATCAAAATATCGATTCGGTCCGGTTCGAAGATTTTTATTTTTCGCTTCAGTTCGGTTCGGTTTTCGGGACTATCGGAACGGTTCGGCTCGGTTTTGTTCGGTTCGGATATTCGGAAATTTCTTTTCATTTTTTAAATTTTTTTGAATGACCACCTAATTATATTTTATTTTTATTGAACTTCTTCTTCGTTCCCCCTCTGAGCCAGTTCACCAGTCGATGCAATCCAAGAAATGTTTTTTTTTTTTCATTCACCAATACTTTATCATACTAAAGATTTTATTTTTACATCAACTTTAGAAGTAACCCTTAATTTTAGTTAAGGTAAATTCAACTAACATTGAAAACTTAAATTCAAACAAAATATAATACAGTTTTATATTAAAGTAATATTTATTTAACCTTCGATACCATGTTAGTTATAAGATAAACTAAGGGTAAGTATCGACAACTTTAAGTAAAGCTTAAATATTTTTTTTTTAAATCTTTAACCTTTCATTCCATTTTTTTTTTTAAACATGAGAAATTCAATTGTAGATAAAGTATTTCTAAACATGAAATGTAAGTGAATCTTAATTGTTATTACTATATTTTATTTGCATTTTAAAAATTCTCACATTATATAGGATCAAAGTTGACATAAAATATATTAATAACATACATCTATTTTTATAATTCGGTTCTTCGGTTCGGTACGGTACGAGACGGTTCGATTCGGTTCTCGATATGAATATTTATGAAATCTCCAGAATCGTACCAATTATATTTTCAGTTCGGTTCGGAAAAAGTCAAACGATCAACGAATATTTTTAGGTTCGGAGTGATTTCGGTTTGGTTTTCGGTACGGTTCGAAATTCTCCGAGTCCCATGCTCAGCCTTAGTAGTTAGGTTAGTTCTCTGTAGTTGCTAGGTTAGTTGTCTGTAGTTGTTAAGAGCTGTGCATTTAGTTCTCTGTAGTTGCTAGATTAGTTGTCTGTAGTTGCTAAGAGCTGTCCGCATTTTAAGAGCTGGCGCATTTTAAGAGTTGGCGGCGTTGGCCGATCCGTCCATGTACATAAATGCAAATATATACGATTCTCGGTCAACAGAGTTAAAAGCAAGTAATATGTACGTATGGACATATGTTAATCATCATCATCATTGTATTTACGCTCCATTCCACTCTCTCAAGCAATCCCACCAGAAAATCTCTGCAACTTTTTGGAAGTTGCCAACCTATAAGCTTTTAGGTTTCTTTATTTTTTCCTTTTTTGGAAAAAAAATTATCAGATCTGCTCGCATTTCGTGTTCAATTGATTTCTAATTCGGGTACGAATTACATTGATTCTATTAACTGTTTAATTGCATTATTTCTAGTTATTTCCAGTTGAATCGCATTCCCCTTTTCATTTTCCCGGTGATGATGTTTTTTAAGGTAACAATTTTGGGCTAAAAAATTTGGGAATTCGATTACATTGGATTGCAGTCTTTGCTTGGCGAAACTCGTGAATGTGTTGCTTTGATTTCCATTTTTCTCCACTTTGTACGGTCGTTCTGATTTCGCCCATTTTTGTTAAATCTTTAGAATCGTCTGTTGATTTTNAAATCACTACTTGTTGATCCATTGAATTTCTCTGTATTATCTTTCCAATTTTTGAAGTGTGGAAGAAGCAGATCTCCAAAATTGGCTCCCCAAAAGAGATTGATGCGCCACGTGGGTGGCCAGATGCAGCAGGGCAGTATGGCGGGGGCCACCGCTCTCTATGAGAATGGTGGCCCAGCTGTCTCCGGTGGAGATGCGGGAGATGCTGTGATGGCCCGCTGGCTACAGTCTGCCGGGCTGCAGCATCTGGCCTCTCCAGTGGCTTCCAATGCAGTTGATCACCGTATGCTCCCCAATTTATTGATGCAGGTAAGCTATATGCGTTTGTATGTTTCTGCAAATCTATATGTTGATTTTCTCGTATTCCAGTGAAATGTGTTTTAAACCTCTAAGTGTTTTCATTATAAAATTCCTTGTCCAAAAATAGAATGATGGAATTAGAACTTTGGTATCAGACTTTTGGTGGGTATCACTGTTGGTGTGTGCGTGGATTGAGTTTGGAATGTTTCATGTGGTATCTCCTCAAATCCTCTGGTTGAGCCTATCATTGTCCGTTTTGTTTTGAGGATACTTGTCGAGACTTGTTTTCTGTTTTCTTGATTTTCCTCATTTCTTTTTTCGCATGGGGAGTAAGATAAATGAGAACACCATATATTGATTATCCATCCATGATAAATTGGGTGAGTTTGATGATGCTTATAGGGCTATGGACCACAGTCTGCAGAAGAGAAACAGAGACTTTTCAAACTAATGAGGAATCTCAATTTTAATGGTGAAACTGTTTCTGAACCTTATACCCCAAGTGCCCAAAGTTCAGGCGCATTTGCTTCGTCAGAAGGATTTTATTCTCCTGAGTTTAAAGGGGATTTTGGAGCTGGGCTTTTGGATCTGCATTCTATGGATGATACAGAGCTATTGTCAGATGTATGTCACCTCTGCTGTTCACTTAACCCTTTATTTTCTTTTTAGAATATAAACGCCAATTATTAACAGTTTCATATTGTCCTTCTCAGCATGTTATCACCGAGCCATTTGAGCCTTCTCCTTTCTTGCCCGCTGTGACCAAAGCATTTGAAAGTGACTGTGAGATAGCCAGCAGGCAGCAGAGAGGTCAAACAGATACAACCGAGGCAATTGCTGGATCAGCTGCTACTGAAAAAGAAAGCAGCACGAGGGAGAATAATCTGGCTAAGATCAAAGTTGTGGTATGTGTAGTTTAGTGTCTTTCTTGATTTTTCTCTCAATTGAATTCTATTTGGTAGTAGTGGTTCTATTGAAAATGGAAACACATTTGAAATGTGTGAGTTTCATCGAGTATAGGTACGCAAGAGGCCGTTGAACAAGAAGGAAATTTCTCGCAAAGAGGATGATATTGTGACTGCGTATGATGATGCCTATTTAACAGTCCACGAGCCGAAGTTAAAGGTCTGAATATGTTAACGTTGTTAAGGTTGTTTATTATGCGGGTTTGTTTCTTATTTTATTTTTCTACTTTCCTGAATTGGGGAGCTCACATTTGAAATTTATGCAAAAGGTCGACCTGACTGCATACGTCGAGAAACACGAGTTTTGTTTCGATGCAGTTCTAGATGAGCATGTGACGAATGGTGAGGTATTATTTATCTTCAGCATTTTCATTTCATTATAGTTTTTAAATGTAGAATTTTAGAAATTGCACTTAGGAGGGGCAGAGGTTGGGTGCTAATTGTGTTTCTGCTTGTCTTGTCAGGTGTACGCCAACACTGTTGAGCCAATTATACCCACCATTTTTCAACGTACCAAAGCTACATGTTTTGCATACGGTCAAACAGGTGTGTATCTCTTTCTCTTATTGTTTTGTATTGTCAGACAAAGCTGCCATTTTAACACCGGAGATAGACAGTGGTTCAGTGTTGCTCCACTTTATAGAAACCAAACCTTGTGAATTTTTTCCTCAGAGTTCTGTTTTATGTTAGTTTTATTCTTTTGGTTTTATATGTACATCTTTAGTTACTTATCTACTCCTCCCTTTTCTTCCCAGGAAGTGGTAAGACATATACAATGCAGCCATTGCCCCTCCGAGCAGCAGAAGACCTTGTTAGATTGATACGTCAGCCAGTTTATCGTAATCAAAGATTTAAATTGTGGCTTAGCTATTTTGAGATATATGGGGGCAAACTATATGATCTTCTGAGCGATAGGAAGTTAGTATTCTGACTTGATTCTTTCATCTTATATTGAAGTTCAATCAGTTATGGCCTTTCAACATGCCAATTTTAATATTTTATAGAATATTGAAGTTCAATCAGTTATGACCTTTCAACATGTCTTACTTGTCTTTTTTGTGTTTCCCTTGGGTTTCATCTCAAGCCTACCCCGACTTGCTTGGGACTAAAGGCTATGTTGTTGTTGTTGTTGTTGTTGTATATTTTCTCTACAAACCATGACTCTTATTTTGTTGCCTTTCGTGACCCAAAATTGATTTTTAGACGTGTGACATAAACTACCACTAAAAGAATTACACCCTTGACTTTCTTGTTTAAAGTTCATATTTTTCTTGTGTAGGAAATTATGTATGAGAGAAGATGGAAGACAACAAGTTTGTATTGTTGGATTGCAGGAGTTTGAAGTGTCAGATGTGCATATTGTGAAAGAATATATTGAGAGGGGAAATGCGGCTAGAAGTACTGGTTCAACAGGTGCCAATGAAGAGTCCTCAAGATCCCATGCAATTTTGCAATTGGCTGTGAAGAAGCACCTGGAGGTGAAAGAATCTAAAAGAAGTAATAATATTAATGATGCCAATGAACCCAGGAGCGGGAAGATTGTTGGAAAAATTTCTTTTATTGATCTTGCTGGTAGCGAGAGAGGTGCTGACACTACAGATAACGATCGACAAACAAGGTATATCTTTTAGCTGTAGCCATAAGTCATTCCCTTTGACTTACATAGTACTGTTGGTTCAGGCCTGATGAAGTGAATCTTTTCTTTCCCTCTCTTAATTACTTCTTTTCATTATTATTGATAATTTTTAGTGAATTGTTGTATAATTATTTGCAGATGTAATTTATCTTTTGTTCTACATTAGTGGTCTTGATAATTTTTTTGGGAATTAGGGTTACCAGATTGCTCCATATGTATGGATTTTCTAAGATGGTAAATGCTTATCAATTTTGGTGAACAAACTACAACAACATTTTAGCTGACCTGTATTTATCCACTATTTCAGTTCAAATCTTGAGCTAAACTTGCATACATGGATAAAGATTTTTGAATTTGTATGTTATCTTTTCCTTGTTATTCCCTTCACTACTCAGAGTTGATTGATGGCATTGTTACGCTCTCGTTCACGAGCAAAGGCTGTTGTGGTGACTTAATGTGTGCAAATTATTTTCTCTCTCTTTATAAGCCAATGTGTTTGTACAGGATTGAAGGAGCAGAAATTAACAAAAGTCTATTGGCACTCAAGGAGTGTATTCGAGCTCTTGACAATGACCAGATTCACATCCCATTCCGTGGAAGCAAACTTACGGAGGTGCTCCGTGACTCATTTGTTGGGAATTCACGGACTGTTATGATCTCTTGCATCTCCCCTAATGCTGGCTCATGTGAGCACACTCTCAATACATTGAGATATGCCGATCGGTATGATATTTTCCTCTTAATCTTATTTTATTTGTTCGATTTTTCCATGTTGTAAGCTAATTTGTGCCGATTTAATCGACAGGGTTAAGAGTCTTTCAAAGAGTGGGAACCCAAGAAAGGACCAGACGAATTCACTGCCGCCTGTTGTCAAGGAACCTTCATCATTGGCTCCAACTTTGTCCTTGACTTCCGAGTCAGAGGAAGCGTACGAGCAGCTTCAAGTATCTAAAGTAGTGGATACAAGTAGAAGGCATGCAGCTAAGGAAGTTTCATCTTTCAATGATGAGAAACTTCCCTCCAGTTTTTCTTCGAATGTTAGATTCAGTGGGCGTGAGGAAAGTGAGGTGACCGCTGGTGATGAAAAAGAACGTTCCCTTGAAGTTAGAAATGCTTTTAGGGCTCCTCGTAGCCAGAAGACATTTTCGGTTGGCAGTTACTCACAGAGTTCAACTGACGTTGAAGAGAGAGTGCAGAAAGTGTCCCCACCACGACAGAAGGCTTACAGTTACAAGGACGAAAAGATTGAGGAGGGAAAAAGAGACATTGACAGCTTGGATCTTATGCCGCCAAGTAGTTATAAGCAGAGGATAGTATACAATTCTAGTGCGAGAAGCACTGGCTCTAAACAGTGTGAACCCGAGCCGCCTCCTGATGGGAGAATGAATGAAATACTTGAGGTTGGTTTTTGAACTGTTCTTGATTTTACCTCATTTGCATTGGTGTAAGAAGTGTTGAAATGCATGTTTATCATGTATCGGATGTTTTTGTCTGTCTAGGAAGAGGAGGCCCTTATTGCAGCCCATAGGAAAGAGATTGAAGATACTATGGAGATAGTTCGTGAGGTAATAAATAGATCTCCTTTTTATCTGCCTCTTTGATAGACGTCAATCATCATTTGAGTGAAAAAGTTCAGATTATTCCATGTAATGGGAATCTCATTCAAAGTGAGAATATGATTTGTGGATTGAACAAGTTAGATGGCTTAAAAACAAATTGAACCCTTGTTGATATTCAGTGTAATATCCAAAAAGTACCAAAAGAAAAAGTAAAATAAAATAGGTAAAAGCAAACATATGAAAATTCTTTTAAAGTTAGATTCGACTCCCCCCTTGACGCTTGTTTCCACATTTACAAGTTCAACTCTCAAGGGAGAGTGTAATGTTAGGATTAGACCTTGAAGAAGTGCTTCTTGTGACAATGAAGATTACTGAGGCTTTCTGTAAATATGTAAAACTTCAATGGTTGCTTTTTGTTATTCACCCTAAGGAAATAAATTTGTGAACAGTGTATGCCCAAACTTTGAAGTGCAAAATATTCTGGAACTGTAATCTGTGTACTGTTTGTATATACCAGGAGATGAAATTATTAGCAGAAATCGAGCAGCCGGGCAGCCAAATCGATAATTACGTGTCACAATTGAGTTTTGTCCTCTCCCGGAAAGCCGCCAGTCTGGTCAGCCTTCAAGCCCGACTGGCAAGATTCCAGCACCGGCTAAAAGAGCAGGAAATTCTGAGTCGAAAGAGGTTACCCCGCTAAGAAGAAACCTGCACTGTACCAGCTTTGAAGGGTATAAATGTCCTTTCCTGTTGTGTACCATGTGTAACTGTCAAAGCAGGCATACAAAACGTAAGGTGGGAGTTGTAATTCTGAAGCACCGTGAGGTGAAGGTGTAATAAAATAACTGTTGAAGGAAAATGCTGTGGAACTATGGGACTGCAACACACACCAAAAGAGAAGGCAGCGTTTTATATTTGGTGGGAACTGTAGATTTACACTATGATTCTTGAATCTGAACTTTAATTTACAAAAATGTGTTTATAGCTGGTGGATATTGCTGTACATTTCTTGTTTTTGAATTTCTGCCCGTTGGGCTTTTCGGCTTTGCCCAGGTTTAGTGCTAGAATTCATCTATGTAATGTAAGGTTGTATCTGAAATGAGCCCTAGTGTTTTATTTCCCGATTATGTGTTACTTTTGCAAGGTAATTTTGTTCTTATATTCTCTGGTACTTTATCTTGCGTATTTTCTATTCTGGTTCTTGATTCTATGTTGTATTTTATAAATATGCTCCAAATTTTGTTTTCATTTCTCCAAATAACTGTTCTTTTTCTATGTTTACAAAATACATGACAGGTAATGATGTAATAACTACATAGTACACCTAAGTACACTATTGCAACATTCATAGAGCATTTGAAAAAAAAAAAAATATTTTTCACACCCCGGTAGGCAAAATAGCGCCTATAAACAAAAAAATCACATGGACTGAAAGTTGTCGACTCAGCCAAAAACATTAATATACTACAATGAATAAATAACGTTACATATACCACAATTGAGAAGAAAGAAAAGTTAGAATGTGACTCCATTTGAATGTATAGACAGATATTTCATTGGTGGTCATTATTTGCTTAAACAATATCGTTAGACCACATAGAACAGACTGTTATCCAATGCAACAACCTATAAACTGGACAAACCACAGAAGATGCTCTAATACATGCTCGGCATCTGAAGTTATTTTTATCTTTAGCAATATTGATCAGACATAGTACGAATTAAATGGTCAAAAAAAATGAGATCAAATTCACTTCATGGTTCATAACTTGATATCATAATGGCATGTAAAAGATGGATTATTAACGATTCATAACTTAGTTTCGCGAGGGCATGAAACAAAATCCTTCTTTTCTTCTGGAAAAGTTGAATTAACAAAAAAAGAATACATACATACACCATTGGGAATTTAACAGAAGTGCTTATAAAAAGGGGGGCCAAAAAAGAAAAAAATAAAGAAAGAAAGAAAGAAAAAAAGAGCAACCACGCAGAACCTCTCTAACTTTTCCATGATCAGGTGGACATCTATTTCAATCTCACCACAGATACTCATGTACAGCTAAAGATACGGATTACGGCCATCTTGCGATGAATTTCACCAGCAAACCAATAGTGTGCTGAGTACCACCGAGTTTAACTCGAAAAATTGTAGCATATGGCGAATGAATAAGTTCTGTGCATCACTCGGCTCTCAATTTCAGAATCTCCTTTGCTGTTCTGCGCCTAAAATACGGCATATGCTCCTACAACCAATAAACAAGTAAAGGAAAATTTCCTTTGACACACAAGATATGACTGTGGTAAGAAAGGAGTTACCTGGCTAAAGCATAATCCAATGTCTCTGCTATAGAAATCAGCATATTTGATCATAAACATGCCACAGTCAAACCTATTCCAGAAAGCAAGTTTTTATCATAATTGAAGGCATGATTCAATTAGAGAATATCAATGTCTTCCTTGTAGAGAAATACAGAGGTAAACTAATTCAAAAGGAGCTTAGGGTCATAGTTGTCTTCTCCAAATGTTTATCACAAGACAACTAGGTATCCAATTAGTTTTCATTTTAACAAAAAAGTGTGACAATAGATTTTAGTAGTCAGGGTACAGTTCTCAAGATAAAAATAGCCTTTTTTACTTTTAGCTACAACACAGGATCTGGTATTGAAAACTCACAACCCATCTTTAAATCAGCAAAGTTGTGTAGCGCTCAAGGAACATTCTCACATTTTTCAATATTCCAATAACTGTTAGAAAATAAAATATACAGAGATGTGGACAGTACCCGTTTGCCTGCTCAGGAAGATCTGTGACATATTCATTCTCCCAGGAACTAACATCAATGTCTTTTCCACACTTTTCCTTCACCTCATCAACAAAATATCTGGCCTGCATTTTGAATCTACATGAATTTTTTGTGCCACATAAGATATAAACAAGGCACTCATCCATAAATACTTCTAATTCAAATTTTCATTTTATAAACATGTAAAATATCGTAAAATAAGCAATAAAAAATACTTTCAATAGGATCAAACTAGAGCAAGTTACCAGCACATCCAAAACTTGAGAATCGACCCCTCTGAGTGAATCAAGATACTGAAACTTCTTATCCTTCTTGTTGATGATCGCTAGACACCAATGAACTTCTTTGTGAATGGGCACAAATATCTAGAAAAAAAGGTCAGAGTACAAGGAAAATTCTGAAATAATGATGTGGGGAAATTCTGTAAGGTCCTCGAGGATTGAACGTGAAAAAGTAAATTCAACTGTACCTTGTCACACTGCAAAAGATTATATCCAAGCTTTCTTTGTGTAGTCCATCTTCTAACTGATTGGAAATTGTAGCCACCCCTACCACTGATCAGCTGCAAATAACAAATGGAAAAATAGCAAATAGAAAATAACTTAAATGTGCAAGCTTTGCTGGTCCACATAAAAAACTGCAGAGGCCAGGAAATGCAAAGGAAATGTAAATGATCAGGGACACCATTACTTAGAAAACAACCATATACATAATTTCATACATGAAATCTCAATGGAATAAATTGAAAATGCAAAATATAAATTATTCATCACATCAGTTTAAGACAATAAGATAATATCTCAATACTCCAAACTGGTAATGTCAAAATTTGGTATCTTTCACTGAATGAGAGTTACTTTACAGAATCAAAGTCTGACTTTAGCTTGTTCTTTCTTTGAATAAAAATCCACACTACGAGTAACGTTTTACAGAATCAACGTTGGACTTCAATATAGCAATCAGAGTTTATCTCCATCAGAATAGAGGAGGTGTCAGAGTGTGCCCGCTGCCGACTACAGGTCTTCTTCTTAGCACACACAAAAGATATAAAGGCATATGCGCAACAAGAATGTAAAGTCGATACTGAATAAAATTGGAAAACTACATTGTTGTCTCATATATGCTTAGGCTACTTATACAAAATATTTGTTGAATAATGAATTGAAACGAGTTAATCTAAAAGGTGAGAGCAATGAACTAACCTTCTTGTAAAAAAAAGTGTTGAAAAAATGACACTTCAAAAACTTCTCTGGCTCCCTTTTTTCTCTTTCTTTCAGTAATTCAAGGTAAAAATTAATGACCTGCAAAGTAAGGAACAACTCAATGCACACACACAAATTGCGTAATTGTCTTCCAACAACTCCAACATATAAAGTTAAATCATTATACATCATTCCCAACAAACAAAAGAGAATTACCTCATCATTAAGCCACGCTCTTGGCTTCAAACACTGCAATTTCTCTCCAGTTATATCGATATTTGAATTTTGATGAGTCACCAAAATTTTCCTCCTAAAGGTTGAGTGGGGACAAGTGCACAGTAAATAAGTGGGTAAGAAAAGAGACACTAATTTCCAACAAAAATAGGAAACTGCGATACCTATTCGAGTTTGACAAGGCATAAGAAACTTCACTCTCTTCCTTCTCCGTAAGGGGCACGAAACACTCTTTTGCCACATCCTGCAAATAAACGGAACCCCACAACCATAAACTGTTAGTCCATGCGACACAATCCAAATACTAACATGGAAGCAACAAGAAAATGCTCCACCTTCTTAATTTGCTCTTCTTTCTTTTGAGGCCACAGTAAATGAACCCACCGCATGCACTTCTCGAGCATTTCTATCTCGCAATTTAAGCTTCCCAGCTTAACATCATGTCTTTTCATTCGATCTAGCAACCTTCTATACAAAGGCAATCCAGAATCATCTGATCCCTGATCAAGCTGCATATAATCAACTTTATCCCGATCTTCCACTCCCATAACAGCATTACTTGCATCTGTAACAACTGACGAATCTAAGGACCTCACTTCATTTTCAACCATCTTCAAATTTGGTTTCTGCGAGTTTTCCACATCCTTTTGCCTGGTCTTCCTCTTACTGCCTACAGAATCCGCAATCTTCAACTCTTCAATGCTGGCATCATCAGTGACACCATCTCTGTCTTCATCCTCACTATCGACCTCAATCACCTCCTTTTTGGTCTCCTTCCACACATTCACAGATTTCAGGCTTCTATTTCTGACCGTCCTAGCTTCTTCACACGACCGATAAACTGCATGGGATATCCCCATTTCCGGACTATCATTAAAGCTACCTGCAGTTTCACTTTTCTTACCAAAAGAAAAGAATCCAAATCTCAAATTCCTTACTGGAGCATGAACCTCTCGTGAAAAACCCGGTTTTCTATCCGGATACTTGGCAATTCTCGAGGCAATCGAGTTCGGTGGTTGGGAACGACTGTTTCCCTGTGTGCGTCGGGCCGGAATAGATGAATGCTTGAGCTTTTTGGCAGTGCGAAAGTACGATTGGTCGATTGGGGCTGATGGCGAAACCAGAGAGTTGTAATAATCGTTCCCTCGCTTCCGGTTGTTGGGTAAAGCCCCCATTAATGAAGGCACAATGCAGCTGAAACCCTAGATGGGAAAAGTGACTATTCATCCAAAAGTTTCCATCAGAAAGAGAAGAAAAATGAAAAAATCACAGTAGGGTTTTCAAAATTAGGGGAAATGGGATAGCGGAAGGCAAAACTTCAGGATATTATGGAAATCAAGGCATGTCCTAGGGTTTTGCCGGCTATTCGAAATGAGATTTGCGCGAGAATGACAGCCGAGGAAGAAAAAGGAAAGTTGAAGCAAAGATTTGTACGTCAAAGAAATACGGTTGTCGTGAAACCTGTTTTTCAAAATTTGCGTTGGAGAATATTGACGAAGGTTTTTACTTTTTATTGCCCAAGAGTGCGTAGGCCGTGACAAAGAGTTGGGTGTGTCACGAACTTACGATCGTGTATCCAACGTCAACATTGTGTAAACTCGCACTAAACGGTCTTGGTCATACACAAGAAATTGTGCTCAGAAACGAGCATTTTTTTGGTTAATTTATTGTCTAATTTTAAAGCATGAAAATACAGAGTCTTTTATGCACCATAGTGCTGTTAAATTAAATGAGTCTAGTTCGGCTCTAGTTCGAGGCCTTAACAAGCCGAGCTCGAGCTTATTTAAAACTCGATTGGTGAGCTCGGCTCGATAAGACTCGAAATAGAATTTTTATATATTTTTTTATAGTTTGGCTTATTAAAGCTCGATATCGATTCGTTAAGGCTCGAGCTCGAGCTCGAATTTTAGCTCGTTTACTTAACGAGCAGAGCTCGGCTCGGCTCGGCTCGTTATGAGCTCGAACTCAAACATCTTAACCTCTAGCTCGGCTCGGCTCGTTTACAACTCTATGCACCAGACCCCAACACACGGTTATTACATAATTCAAATTAAAAACTGCTCAAATCCTCTAATATGCCAGCCAACGTGTTCCAGTTCATGGCTCGTCGCGGCGCAGACGAGCCTCGTGGTGTGAGCACAGGTGCAACGGCGCGACATGAAGGGTTCTGCGGCGCGACGTCTGAGTTTTCTCTCGTCTCTGTTAGCCCGTGGCGTTCCTCGCGATTTGATCACGGCGTGAAGATCATGAGGGCTTTGCGATTTGGTGGAGCCTCGCGTCGCGGCGCCTGAAGTTGCTTTAGTCCGAGCTTCCTTGAGATGAGCTCGTCGAGCACGGTTGTAGGCATTTTTAAGAATACGACCCTTGTCCGCATCAGCGCATTTGTAATTTATATATTTGAGCGATTTATTATAATTACTAGTACGATACTCCGTGTACTAAACAGATACTTAATATTAATGTTTTGTACACTAAAAAAAATTAAATAAATAATATTTTTATCATAAAATTATGTATATTGAATGTACAACAATAATAAATAACTAACAAAGTGATAATTAATTCAAATGGTGGCCGTACTTTTACACTAAATTTGTGAGAAAAAAAAGAAGATATTTTCTAATTATATTTTTAAAATTATATATTTATTAGACTAATATTTACAACTCCATATACTTTATTCGATTTTTTTATTAAAACAAAACAAGTTTTATTTATTGAAACTATATATTATATTTATAGAGTCAGTATCTCTCGTTTATTAATTTTCAAGTATTTTAAATTCATGTAATTTACAAATTTTAAATATTAATTTACGCAGAAATATATTATTTTCTAAATTTATTAAATATAAAATTATTTTATTATATATAATTATGATATTCCTTTATATTTACTATTTTAACGACATAATAACATTCATTTTCTTATATAATGGATTTAAATCGAGAAATAAGACTTTATGATATTTTTAAAATTTATTTATGTAATACTTAATTTCCATATTTTATCCAAAATCTATGAAGAAAATACATTAAAATTATGTGTATTAATGAATTGAATTTTTATTATTTTTTAAAAAATAATTTATATCGTTGTCTGATGGTTTTTAAATTGATTTGATAATAAAATTAATTTTATTTATAAAGATAGATGATATTAATTTTTATCTAATATATGCAATATGAATGTCAAATCGAAGATCGTTAAAATATGATTATTTTGATATATCATATATAAAAAATAAAACAAAAATAAAAATATTATAAAATTTTAAAAATAAAAAAATACATATTTATAATAATTAATATATGAATTAAAGATGAAAAGATAGAAGTATTATATGATAACTTAAAAAAATAAAAAATTTAAAATAGTTTATAGTAATTCCCAAGCCAAATAGTGAAACGACTCAAAACAAAGTTTGAACATGTGTTAATACGAAGCACAAGTTTATGCCAAATAAGCTTACGAGCATACGAGCCAACTATTTAGGCTTAATGCATTCGTAAATTATATGTTTGAGTGATTTTCCAAAATATACTAGAACCATTTTTATATTTGTGGCCCAAAATATTGGACTAATTAAATCTAATGGGCTTGGGCTGGTCAAACTCATTGGACTTTTTCAGTGGTCTGGACTTTGTCTAGATTCCAGAAAGTGGCACTCGCTTATCAACTCACTCCTTAAAATCATTTGAAGAACACGGAAGTTTTTTATAATGGAGGTGGTCCCTCTTCTGGGTTCTCAGCTCGCCCAAAATCCTCGGTAAAACCTCCCGTTCGCCCATTTGAAATGCATTCAAGAATGACCGAGCTCTTCATAAACCAAGGTAAAATCGTCATAAGATTATTCCTATTTCATTTTTGTTCGATTTTTTTGGGGCGATATGTTAAAATCATGGTGACCGATTTCAATGGCCTTTTTTTTTTTGGTAATTAAGAAAATGAAAGCTTCTTTGTAGTCCTTATTTCTTCTGTATAGAAGTTTCACTTTTATTATTTGAAAGAATTTTGTTAGCTTCTTTGCCATGTTTTTATGTATTTTTCTGCTTCCATGCTTTTTGTTGCTTGCAGCGTTGAGGTATACCCTTGACCCGAGACCAATTTGCCTGTACAATCTGTGCAGAAGATTGTCTTGTTCAAATGATGGCCCCTCAAATATAGATGTTCACGAAAAAGTTAATGAATCCTTCAAGGAAGGAAATCAGGCAGTTTCTGAGAATAACGAAGGGCATGGCCAAGTTTTGCGAAAACACGAATTTGTCAAAAAGGAGGTCGAGAATGTGTGTCGAATCTTAGAGAGTAGCCCTTGGGGACCCTCATTAGAGAAAGCTCTATCCTCTTGCGTTCACACACCGCAACTCGATATCACCATTGGTGTTCTGAGGAGAATGAAGGACCCCGATTCTGCTCTTAGTTACTTCAGATGGGTGGAGCGCGAAACAAATCAAGTTAATCCCCCACAAACCTACAATGCCCTCCTCTTGCTAATGGCGAGGTGTAAAAAAATCGACAAAATCGAAAACATTTTGGAGGAAATGAGCCTGGCCGGATTCAGCCCGTCTTTCGAGACGAGCACAGAGTTAATTTCCATCTGTGTAAAAGCCCGGAAATTGATGGATGCTTACAATATTTTACAATCCATGAGGAAATTCAAAATCCGACCTGCTTTTTCAGCCTACACGACCCTAATAGGTGCATTTTCTTCATTCCATAAGCCCGAGTACCCAGACCTCATGCTTTCCTTATTCCATCAAATGCAGGAATTAGGCTACGAAGTTAACGTTCATTTATTCACAACTTTAATCCGCGTTTTCGCACGGGATGCCCGTGTGGACCCCGCCTTGTCCTTGCTGGCCGAGATGAAGAGTAACTTGTTGGAGGCCGATATCGTCCTTTACAACGTGTGCATCGACTGCTTCGGTAAAGTCGGCAAAGTCGACATGGCATGGAAATTCTTTCACGAGATAAAGTCTCACGGGCTAAGGCCCGATGACGTGTCGTACACTAGCATGATTAGCGTCTTGTGCAGAGCCAATAGAATGGACGAGGCTGCCGAGTTATTCGAACAAATGGAGGTGAATCGGGAAATTCCTTGCGCGTACGCTTATAGTACCATGATAATGGGCTATGGATCTTCCGGAAGGTTCCGTGAGGCGTACGGTATGCTCGAGAGGCAGAGGATGAGAGGGTCAATACCCAACGTGATTGCTTACAACAGTCTCCTCACCTGTCTCGGCAAAAAGGGAAAAATAGAGGAGGCGTTGAGTATTTTCGACGAGATGAAAAAGGACGCTATGCCTAATCTCACGACATGTAACATACTCGTGGACATGCTTTGCCGCACGGGAAAAGTCGAGGAGGCTTTAGAAATACAGAACGACATGAAAAATAGCGGCTTGCCGTCGAACATATTGACGGTCAACATCATGGTTGACCGTCTGTGCAAGGCGAACAAGCTCGACGAGGCCCGAACGATTTTCAACGGGCTCGACAGAAAAACTTGCGGCCCGAATAAATTCACATATTGTTCGTTGATAGACGGTTTAGGCCGACATGGAAGGGTAGACGAGGCGTATAAGCTGTATGAAGATATGCTCGACTCACTCGAAGGGGCACCGGACTCTATTGTCTATACTTCCCTCATAAGGAGCTTTTTCAAGGTAGGCCGGAAAGAAGATGGCCATAAAATCTACAAAGAGATGGCGCGAAAAGGCATAAGCCCGGACCTCACTCTCCTCAACACTTACATGGATTGCGTTTTCAAATCCGGCGAGATTGAAAAGGGCCGGGCCTTGTTTGATGAGATAAAGTCCCGGTTCAGGCCCGATGCCCGAAGCTACTCGATTTTGATCCACGGACTAATAAAAGCGGGCCTCGCGCGCGAGACTTACGAGCTTTTCTACGCGATGAAGGAAAGCGGGTGCGTGCTCGACACAATGGCTTACAACACCGTAATCGATGGGTTTTGCAAATCGGGAAAAGTGAACAAAGCTTATCAGCTTTTGGAGGAAATGAAGGCAAAAGGGCACCAGCCGACTGTGGTGACGTATGGTTCGGTTATCGACGGGCTTGCCAAGATCGACAGGCTGGATGAGGCTTACATGCTGTTTGAAGAAGCGAAATCGATTGGCGTGAGATTAAACGTCGTTGTGTATAGCAGTTTAGTGGATGGATTCGGAAAAGTGGGCAGAATAGACGAGGCTTATCTGATTATAGAGGAAATGATGCAGAATAATATAAATCCCAACATCCAGACATGGAATTGTTTGCTCGATGCACTTGTGAAGGCGGAAGAAGTGGATGAAGCCCTCGTGTGCTGGAACTCGATGAAGGACTTGAAATGCACGCCTAATATCGTGACGTATGGGATTCTAATAAACGGGCTTTGCCGGGTTCGGAAATTCAACAAGGCATTTGTGTTCTGGCAGGAAATGCAGAAGCAAGGGCTGAAGCCTAATGCAATCACTTATTTAACGATGATTTCAGGGCTTGCGAAGGCTGGGAATATATTTGAGGCTGATAAGTTGTTTGAGAGATTTAAAGCAAATGGGGGTGTGCCTGATTCGGCATGTTATAATACCATGATCGAAGGTTTGAGCTTGGCAAACAAGGCAAGTGAAGCTTATAGGCTATTTGAGGAGACTAGGAGGAAGGGCTGTAGTATATATACGAAAACTTGTGTTGTTCTTTTGGATGCCTTGCATAAAGCCGATTGTCTTGAGCAGGCGGGAGTTGTGGGGGCCGTTTTGAGGGAAACGGCTAAGTCACAACATGCTTCTAGGTCATTGTTGTGATTTTATGGGAGATTGTGTGTTTTTT